TTTTTTTGGGAAAAAAATTCGAATAGATCTTCCAAGCGCAGAAAAAAAATTACACCGTAGATATATCTACCCATTTAGCGAAGTCCGGCAAACGAACGGGTGATGAGAAACTTGGTTAGTACAAATTCGAGATTTGAGAGAAAAAAATCACCAGACATGTTGATTTACCGTTTAAATGGTATTTTTTGTTCTGCTAGGCATTGATTTATATCCAGGATATACCATGTGTATCTTCTCGTAAACTAAGCCGGACACAGCAATCAGCTGTACACACATTTTCTTGGAATTTACCGGTGATTCAGTCAAGACACACCCAATGATATAACTTTACAGGGTTTTAATGCAAGGATCGGCAAAAATTGTACCTGAAACTATTTTTTTATCAGGAATAATATATTCCAATATCTTGTTAATTTAGATGCAGCTTTTGCTAAACATATTTGAAATAATAATAACCCAAAGCGAAGCAGCTGATTGCAATACCCGGGTATTACATGGTTTTACATGGAACCAGTCTGACCAATCACCGTCAAGGCTCCCGCGCACGTGATCGCGGGAATTACATGTTGACATAGAATCGTCCAACAAAAACAAAGGCAACAATGCAGTTTACCGGGCGCAGCCCGAGCTCTACCATCCGCTCAATTACCGCGCTATAGTGCCACCGCTGTCTCGTTATACCGTTACCGTGCCTCACGCTCTGGTGACTCTCGCTTCACGATCCAACACCCGTTTTCGGTCTTAGGGAAACTTACGCATCTTTACAAACAAACACCCGTTCTCGGTCTTAGGGAAACTTACACATCTTTACGATCAAACACCCGTTCTAGGTCTTAGGGAAACTTACACAACTTTTTACGATCCAACACCCGTTTTTCGGTCTTAGGGAAACTTACACGTCTTTACGATCCAACACCCGTTTTCGGTCTTAGGGAAACTTACACGTCTTTACGATCCAAAACCCCTTTTCGGTCATTAGGGTCAGTGGGTTTGGGCAAGGGTTAGCCATAAATTCTTACCTTTTCAAACGTTAATCCAGTTAATCCCATTGGTCGGTCATGTTGACATAAACAATTGCGGGTGTGGTTTCAAGAAAAGATGAATTGGAGAGCGGGCAGTGACGTCACACGCATGCGCAATTCATTGTTTACTGAATTACGCATGCATGTCAATGGGGATTCTGATGACCTGTTAAACGAGCACTGATTACATGTGATAGCGCCTGTGGTCCAGTGGTAGAGCGTAGGCTAATTAACGCATTAATTAGCAGAGCCGGTGAGCCGGCGAAGCGCGTTCGAGCCCCCACAGCGCTAATTGGATCTGAAAAAGTGCGCCCGGTAAAGTGCACTACTCCCAAAACAAATATGACTTTTAACGTGTCAAAGTATGGCATTTATGACATATGTATCCATTCTCTGTCAACTAAAGTTCGTTTCAAGGCGTCAATAGCGGTAATCTGACCGTGGTTTCTGTCAATAACGGTGAGTTGTGCGATCTTCCGATCGCTTCACACACGATCTCGCTGAAATTAATTAAAACAATATTAAAAGTAATTTTGAATAAAATTAATGAAATAAGTTACAAACATAAGTCCAGATATACAAAGAACACTTTTTATAGTCAGACAGTGTAATTACATGATTAATTTGCATACTTCAGTATGGATTTGTTGACATGGTATTTCCGGTGTTACGTGCTCACGGTAATGTCTTTCCATGGGGGAAAAACATCAAAACTCATTATTTCGTGTATAATGCGCACCCCCTTCTACACAGCTGTGGGTTTTTTTTTAAGATAATGCGCAGTATACTCAAGAAAATACAGAATGCTTTGAAGCTGACACGGAAGTTTCATCGTCTGTCGACACGTTCGATGAACCAAAACCTGCAACTGGCACTGGTAAACTGTCAGATGATGTTACTGACACAATGTTCTAAAGCTTGTTTGTCTGAAAAACTCAAAAGCTTCAACAACAGTTGTTGTTCATGATATAAAACTGATTATTCAAACTAATGGATTTTTTTGTGTTTTGTTATGCAGAAGCTCAGTTAAATTACAAGTCATTACTTTTGGCTCCTTACATTTTGCCTTGGCTCCTTGAAATTCTATTTGGCTCCTTGAAAAAAAGATTTAGGAGCCAAGTGGCTCCTTTGAATTTTTTTTAACTTTGTGGCCTGATATATATGTAAATACTTTAAAGTGCTCAATATGCATCTCAGAGGTTGTTATGTATATGTAAATACCTTAAAGTGCTCAATATGCATCTCAGACGATTACTATTGATATTGAAAGAAACTATTGCGATAACTATTGATATTGCAAGCAACTATTGCGATAAATATAAATAGTTTTCAGTGTATCATTTTAGATGAGTTTTATTTTCTTTAACATAGCCAAAAGACTTCCAAACACTCGATTTACCACCCAAGTTTGTCACAAACTCCCTTTCCTTGTTAACATCATGAATGCATGTTGTGTTTTGGAGAATGCTAAAGGTCAAGTATTCTGACCACAGCAACATCGCAGATTTTAATGATTTAATGAAAAATGGAAATAACATATTCAAGATGATAAAAAATGAAAGCCTAAATCATCACCGGCACAAAACAATTCGCCACTGGGGTTAAAACGGGTTCCGGGGTTTTCGCACTGCGCAATTCCCAGGATAAGGACTGTGAGCAGTCTGCCTACTTCCGCCTTGGATTTTTTAATCGCATTATGTGGCTTTTCTGTCTGCTCTTCCGTTTGATTACCGTGTCCACAACTTATTAGTAAGATTAGTAACAGCATAGAAGATGCCTTCTGTTGCCTACTCTGGGGATTAATTCAATGTATCTAGGGAAACTGATATTCTCAACAAAATCACAATCATTTTTTTCATTATATTTACCCCTTACAAACATCAAACTTGTTTCTAAATGAAAACGTTAAACAGTTGTGAATCTGCAGGACATATAATTTTCTGGCGCTAATTCCAGAGCTCCATCAAGCATTGCTTGTTATTAAATACAAGCCCGTTGTTGCATGCACAGCAGCAATAAAGGACCCCTGGTTTATAGCAGTAATCCCATTGATTTCCTCAATCTCAAGTTTATTTATGACAGTAATAAGAGAATAAATCCTCCACTTTGGCTCTAAATCATGTTACATTGTGTTCTGTGTTTCTCGACATGATATGGCGACAACTGTGTTAGAGATTGTCAGGAGGCTTGAATGGAGGAAATGTCTATTCTGGTGGCACAGTTAGGATTAGCATCGTCAGACTGTATCGTTGAGGAAGGTTACCCTTGGTGCTGATATGACAGACTGTCTGTCAAGTTTTGGCTTTGTACTTTAAGCTCATTTATACAACTACTTATGTTTATAGGGGTTGGAACTACACATTGTCAGGCGTGTCGTGACCTACATTCAGTACATGCAAATATATCCACAGTCAACATTGAAAACAATTAGTGCCTAATACTTTGGAGTCTGCTCATCCAAATAAGGCTCAAAAAATCATTTTCAGTAGATTTTAGTGTTATTATGTTGACTACCGTTAACAGCGATGCGAGACGGAGCAGGATGTTACCAGACTTGAGCACTCAGACAAGTGGCTGAGGTCACAGCCTTGAGAAAATGTGCATTTTCCAAACTTTGAACTTAACCATGTTTATTCAGTTTCTAAACATGCTGAACAAATGGTCTAGAATTTGTCTTTCTAACTTGATATTGTTTATGCTGAACAAACATTAAGTAAAGGTTTTGATGTTTATGAATCCAAACATGCAACATGTCTACAATTTGTGAAGCCCACTCAGGGTCTCGCCAGCTGAACTAAACCCCCATTGTTCAAATCCTTTGGAAATTCTGATGACAGCATAAGTTGTATGAACTCTACATCTGTCAGCATAAGAGTGAGTATGGTTTTACGCCGCTTTTAGCAATATTCCAGGAATATCACAGTGGGGACACCAGAAAGGGGCTTCACACATTGTACCCATGAAGGGAATCAACCCAGGTATTTGGCATGACGGGCAAACGCTTTAACCACGAGGCTACCCCCTGCCCCGTCAGTTTGAGATGCAGCATATAGTAGAAATACAAAGTGAAGAGGTATATAATTATTATTTTTGTTACTGATTATAGTTTTTTTAAGTGGGTAACACATCAAACCCATGTGGGGAATCAAACCCAGGCATTCAGCATGATGAGCAAACACTGAAACCACTGGACTATGCGACCGGCCATAGTACACATGAAGTATTCAGTGAACTGTTGCATGTTGTATATTGTATGTTCAACATTCCTTATAAAGGAACCCGTGAAGATTCCGGGGTAGAATAGGTCTTCAGCAACCCATGCTTGCCGTAAAAGGCAACTATGCTTGTCGTAAGAGGCGACTAACGGGATCGGGTGGTCAGGCTCGCTGACTTGGTTGATACATGTCATTGTATCCCAATTGCGTGGATCGATGTTCATGATGTCAATCACTGGATTGTCTGGTCCAGACTCGATTATTTACAGACCGCCGTCATATAGCTGGAATATTGCTGAGTGCGGCTTTAAACAACAAACCAACCAACCAACCAACCAACCTTGTAAAGATTAATTTTAAATCTTCAGATTATTTATTTTATATTTACAATCTTACCTGCACTTTTTGTATTGAAAGCACATATTTCTTCCACAAGAGGGCTTTAAATATGGGGACTGAATTTAAGATTTTTGTATCATATGAATATGTACACAAGTTCAGATAAAATAAACAAAAACTGAATAATCATGATAAACAATTAAATAAACAAATAAATAAACAAAATTCAACAGGATGTTGAGCAGAGTAAACAAATACCACATGCCAGCAGGCCAACAATAGGTAATACCAGGTTAGGAGACCACAGTGGGTTCACTCACCACAAGCAATTGATTAACCATGCATGGCCTACAATGATGAATGGCTGCTGGCTTGCTATCAGTGGTTGAGATTACTCTGTGTCCGGCTGGGAGAGAGTGGGATCGGTGAGCAGGTAATGGTGGCTGTGTTATGGCTGTGTTTGCCTTGTATTAACGCTAATGTAATGGCCGCCAGATGCTTGTCATGTCCGTGTGGAGGATCTGGAGGGAGGGGGAGACAAGCTGATTGGGAGGTTACGTCAGGAAGTACAGAGGGATCACCTGCAGAGTTTATTGTTGCTGTGTGTGTTAAAGTTTAACAACCTTGGATCTTGAGGAATTTGACTTTCAGTCGATGCTCATTTGGTCACAAGATAAACCGACTTAGGAGACATTGTGATTGTGTTTGGGGAGTTAGAACACTGGTGTATGGATTATTGTGGATTGACATTGAAAGTGGACTATTTGATGTGGCAGGGCCATGCTGACACAGTTGACAGGATATTGTTCTTGATCAGATTGATCTGTTGTGTATTGATCTGTGTACATTGATCTTTGGTAGACTTTCAAAACATTGATATATTGCTTTGAAGGAAGAAGAAAATCATGCCTTGGATAAGGGGGGCTGAAACGTTTGGATTATTGATGAAACAGTCTGGTGATTGATATGAGATTGATATGCTGAAGGTCATTGATCTGAAACTGATTTTATGAAACACAACTCGGATGCATGTGTTGGATCGGATGAAGTGACACAATCGAGGAAATTCCTCACACAGTAAGCAGTGGACAAGGGCCGCCATCTATAGAGCCACGGTGCTGTTGACTTGAGGGGCCTGATTGAGACCATATATTCGGGGGGGTCCTGGCACTACAGAATGTGGGGGGCGTACTCCAGCACGGCCACAGTGGAGGAGGGGTGTGTCGTCCATCTCCGGTCTGACAGCACGACCACGGACACACCTGGTGAGTCTAGACTGTATACTGTTAAAAAAGGATTGAGGATATGAATGTGCTGAGGGAAAATTGGGTTTAACATCACGTCCAGTATTATTGCACATATGTCATGTATATATGTGTGTGTGTCCACTGAGATATGATGCTGCATTTTAACATGAATACCACACTCAACCACACCATACTTGCTCCGAACCGACCAGTCCTTGTTTCATACCCTTAATGCCATGGCATGACAGATTAACTCAAAATATAAAAGAAACGGGTGTCCTTTACTTCTTTTTAGTAGTATATTCTAACCGATTCCACAACAACAAAGGGGAAAGTACAAATTCTGTGTGAGTTCCACAACCAAACACCCTGAATAGTGAGTGAGCATGGTGAGTGAGTTTGGTTTAATGTCACCTTGAACAGAATTTCATATATATCACAGCATGGCTTCTTGATGTGGGAGGAAATCCAGAATTGAAGCAGATCCTAGTTGTTATTATAACCACATTTGACACCACAAACTCGGGTATGGTGCTGACAGACCTAGAAATCAGGACAAATCTGGGATTCAAACCCACAATCATAGACTCCTGGCATGCCTAAGGGACGCAACTCTGCACAGCAGTTCCTTTGACAGGTGAAGAAAATCTGAGACAGTACATACTTCTACTGTAGTAAAACATGTCTTCAGGTACTGATACTTCAGTGAATCATAGCCTTTTTATAGAAACAGTATTTATTTGATATACAAGAGTAGGAACCACCAATAATTTATTTCAAGGGCCCATACAGGAATTATGAGGGTCATGTAAAGTAATAAAATGGGTTTAATGTACTGAAAGATAAGACAATTACATTAATTACAGGACCTATATATATATTGTCAAGAACTGGGTACAATAAGAAGATAAACATACTGTGTTTTCAATGTAGAGCTTGGTTACCTGTAGATTTAACTGCGCTAATTTGAATTTGGAACCGAACGCGCAGCTTGGTAAGCTAACATGAGGTGGGGAATACCTACAGAAAACAAAGCAAGCTTTGCAAGGCTTTCGCTCTACATTGCACATCACCATTATGACGTCATATCGCTTATTGTGACGCAAAATATATGACGCTAGTCGTACATAGAAAAGTGCCAAAATTCCAATCTCTGTTGTCTCCAAAACGTAAATACATTCCCTTTGTAGATTTCTATCATGCTTTTTGCACGAAATGTATTGCCACACATCCTTTGAATATTGTAGTAACCGCATCTGCATTTTGTAACCAGTAATTGTAGATATAATTATTAAATATGAAAAAAAACGTGGCTTATGCTGACAGCCTGAAATGATACAAAAGAAAGGTATGTGTGTATTATACACGACAGATATATTTTCCAGAATTTAATTGCCCATAATTAAGGGTGCATATAACACACGAGTGCGTATTATACACGAATAGATAAGTCTTGTGTACATTGATCAATCGGAAGGGGTGCTTATTCGGATTGTTCACTAGCCAATGTATTAACAAATATCGCCGTGGGCCTTTATTAGAGCGGGTCGCTTATTATGTCGAATACGGTACCTTGCCATGTGTATATTGACGGCTACATTTTAGTATTGAAATTGCACCAAAAAGATCTAGATGCAGGTATTTATCACAGGATGTTAAAAAACATGCCCATGGCAGACAGACTAGGGGAAACATTATTTTGTAACTAATTGGGAATGCAGTAATCTTGATAGAAAATTAAGAATCGTTTTCAGGTGACGTTACCATGGTTACTCCTGGATGGGGAGGTTATGAACTGGTTTCTAGACTAAATGTACTGAAAGTAATCGGACGAGACGTGTTGGACTCAAAGAAGTGGTTTCAGTCTCTGTATTCTTCTACTGTACGCGACAGCAAGGCAATGTGTTTGCTGAACCTCTTCTCAAGTACGACTGATAACCTGGGGTTATTTTTGTTTTTTTATCAAGACCATATGATTCATATTCACCTGCTTAGAATGCTTCGTAAGAAGAAAAGATAGTGCACCAAGGAAATATCTCTGACCTCATCGTGATCTATGATAAGGAAGAACATACAGAGAAACATACCTTACTCATCATGGGAAACATTGATAACATAATTTAAATATTTGAACTTATCCTAGCTCACACTAAGAGAAAAATGCATTGTTGTGTGAGTTCCTGCCCCACACTGAAGCACATGTACCACATGTGGTGTCTCCTTTGGCAAGTGACTTTGTTCAAAATGTGCCTCTGTTCACCCAGCAGTTTGTGGGTACCCGGTAGGATGAGATGGTAATGTGGCTGTTAACCTTCTAGCACTTCACAGGCAGCTTGGGTTGTATACTCCCCAGGGAGCTGAGAATGAAAATCGAGTGCTCACTGATCCATTGACCGGGGTAATAATAGTGTAGCGCTGTGAGCATCCACTTGGTGAATGGAATATAAATATAAATATTAAATGCACTTATTATTATTAGATAGGATAAGTATATAAATATACAATTTTTTGTAAAATTTTCAATTTCCATTGCTGAATGGTACAGGAAGTATTTTATCATTTATCATGTTTATGTCCAGGTTTCTCATCATGGGTTTCTAATTCCAGTGTTCTGGATTCAAAAGTAAATAGACCCGTAAAGATCCAGGTGAGAATAGGTCTCCAGCAACTGATGCTTGCCGTAAAAGGCGACTATGCTTGTCGTAAGAGGCGACTAACAGGATCGGGTGGTCAGGCTCACTGACTTGGTTGATGCATGTTATCGTATCCAAATTGCGTGGATCGATGTTCATGATGTCAATCACTGGATTGTCTGGTCCAGACCTAATTATTTACAGACCACCGTCATATAGCTGGAATATTGCTTAGTGCGGCGTAGCCTTTTACTGCACGAATTGGTTGCTGAAGACCTATTCTACCCCAAATCTGCATGGGTCTATAAGTGTAATGTACTTTGTCAATATAGGGTGGGTCACGACAGACAATACATGTTTCAAACTGTGTGTTGGTTAATGCTGCAGTCACCAAGATTCCCACCATATCACCATGATCACGGTGGTTTGTAAATAATTGAATGTTTCAACACAAGGTACCCTCAGGTATGTTTCAACACAAGGTCCCCACAGGTGTGTTTCAACATAAGGTCCCCACAGGTGTGTTTCAACATAAGGTCCCCACAGGTGTGTTTCAACACAGGGTCCCCACAGGTATGTTTCAACACAAGGTCCCCACAGGTATGTTTCAACACAGGGTCCCCACAGGTGTGTTTCAACTCAAGGTCCCCACAGGTGTGTTTCAACACAAGGTCCCCACAGGTGTGTTTCAACACAACGTCCCCACAGGTATGTTTCAACACAAGGTCCCCACAGGTGTGTTTCAACACAAGGTCCCCACAGGTATGTTTCAACACAAGGTCCCCACAGGTATGTTTCAACACAAGGTCCCCACAGGTATGTTTCAACATAAGGTCCCCACAGGTATGATTCAACATAAGGTCCCCACAGGTGTGTTTCAACACAAGGTCCCCACAGGTATGTTTCAACACAGGGTCCCCACAGGTATGTTTCAACACAAGGTCCCCACAGGTATGTTTCAACACAGGGTCCCCACAGGTGTGTTTCAACACAGGGTCCCCACAGGTGTGTTTCAACACAAGGTCCCCACAGGTATGTTTCAACACAAGGTCCCCACAGGTATGTTTCAACATAAGGTCCCCACAGGTGTGTTTCAACACAAGGTCCCCACAGGTATGTTTCAACACAACGTCCCCACAGGTATGTTTCAACACAAGGTCCCCACAGGTGTGTTTCAACACAACGTCCCCACAGGTATGTTTCAACACAAGGTCCCCACAGGTATGTTTCAACTCAAGGTCCCCACAGGTATGTTTCAACACAAGGTCCCCACAGGTATGTTTCAACACAGGGTCCCCACAGGTATGTTTCAACTCAAGGTCCCCACAGGTGTGTTTCAACTCAAGGTCCCCACAGGTATGATTCAACATAAGGTCCCCACAGGTATGTTTCAACACAAGGTCCCCACAGGTGTGTTTCAACACAAGGTCCCCACAGGTATGTTTCAACATAAGGTCCCCACAGGTGTGTTTCAACACAAGGTCCCCACAGGTATGTTTCAACATAAGGTCCCCACAGGTATGTTTTAACACAGGGTCCCCACAGGTGTGTTTCAACACAAGGTCCCCACAGGTATGTTTCAACACAAGGTCCCCACAGGTATGTTTTAACACAAGGTCCCCACAGGTATGTTTCAACTCAAGGTCCCCACAGGTATGTTTCAACATAAGGTCCCCACAGGTGTGTTTTGACTCAAGGTCCCCACAGGTATGTTTCGACTTAAGGGTGACTCTAGCCGTATCAAAGTAAAACCACCTGTATTCATAACACAAACATTATTCTTGTCATACCAACAAGGTAATAACTATAACACTGTAGTGCCCCAGGGACAAGCTGTACGTATCCATCCAAATACTTCTGTCACAAGATCCCCTGCAAGCACTCAGTCACTGCTATCAAGTTTTATTTCAAATTAGGTTTAAACATGCAATTCAGTCTCTTTTGTACAGTATAATTGACCTCGCACAGCCTTATTGTAGACAAAACATTCCTCAAGATAAAGACATTTGTGAAGCCACTGTGTGTTCAGGGCTGTGTCGGTTTCTGTGAAGTCGGGGTCTAGATATGATCTATTGACTGATGAACTGGTAGTATAGGGGGCGTCCTGCTCACACGGTGTAGTATCTCACCTGGGGGTTGTGGCAGTCACACCTGACCCAGGCTGTATTGTCTATAATCAGGGTTTTATGTCTTGAATTGGGAGACAGAGCTTATACAGATTGGTTTTAGTGTTGGAAGCCGATATAAAACAAAGTGGGCTCACAGAGCATTCAATTGTTAGTAATTCTTGAGTTAACGGCATGTTTGTATATATTTTATTACCTTAACTTTCTCAGCCATTTGAGTAGGTTGGGGGTGTTTGGAGAAAGAAATGAAGAAAACTGT